TAGAAATGCCTGGGCAGAACCTTCTTTATATATTGCTTGCTTTAGAGAGCTGGCATCTATCTTCCTTAAAACGTATGCCCAGAGTGTGCAAGTCAGACTAACAAGGGTCTTGGGATAATTCTTGTGACACTTGATGAAGGAAACCAGTCTGGAAATATTAGAGGAGACAGAGTTTTGAACATACGCCACAGAAGTTGCTGCTCTCAGATGACAGTGTGTTTGCAAGGAGCAATTCTCAGAATTTCCTTTGGCATTGAACCAACTCAGGAAAAGAGGAAGATTTCATGTTCCCTGCCAGAAGCATCCCTGTAATAATGTGAGAATGAACGGTCTGACCCTAAATTATAAACAGCTCAGACTAGACTGTGGTCTGCTGCAGAAACTATCTTGAACTTTGAAAAGAGAAAGCTTGTGTGTGGTTATGTATATCTTTCTATGAGGTACAATAAAATAGTTGTTGTTTTATTGTGCATTTAAGTTAACATGTCATTGTGAAATCATCAATCTTCTCTTAAATGCACCTTGTGACTAAAAAAAATGCAGAGATCCAGGTCTTCCTTAGAAAATAACTGGATTTTATATGTTCACCGCTAAAAGAAGCAAGCTATGCCAATAAACAATAGAGTATCAAACAATAGAAATCTTATACAAGCATGCTGAGGCTATGTAATTCACTGGCCTTCAGACAAATCTTTAGATACAGTAATTTTGAAAAGAAGTGCTTCATCAGTTTCCATTAATTTACTTGTTTTGGAGTTTTTTGCTTCAATCCAGTTGTGACATCTTTGAGCCTGTTGAAGAGCTGAATGTTAACACAGGAGGCAGAAAATATGAGTGTATTTAGGTGCAGCATCTTTGATTTAAGGATGGTTTTGTACTTGCAGCAGTGGGGTAGCTGAACCCAAAGACTAGAGGAGATTTAGCTGGAAGAGGAAACTTGTTTCCAGCTAAAGGAAAGCTGGAGAAAAATGACTTCTTATCTCATAGTGGCTGCAGTTGTTTGCATTGCATGGCAGTGTATACCTGGGGTTGTATATGCTGCCCTGGGGAATATATGGTGGAAGGCATTTAAGGTTTGAACTACTGCATTTAGTTCCCAATGTTACCTCAAAGTAGCCATTCCTCTCTCTCCCAACAAATAATAAAGTGTGCAATTCCTGCATTGCCATGAGGTATTTGTGGCCACACAGAGGAATAACAACCCAACCCAAACACCAAAAAGGCTCCCTGATCCATGTCCTGCCTGAGTGATTGGAGCATGGTGTAGTATTTCATGAATGAGAAAGTTTTAAACTTTTATACATGGCATGTGATATTGGATGGAGTTGAACTTGAAAAAATAGGCCTTGTAAGAACCAATGTTCAGGGAACCACAGAGAGCAGGGAAGTAAATGCTGGTGATGTGGTGGCAGTTTTAAAGTCAGGTGAAAACCAGTGAGAACAGAAGCTGTTTGGCCAGTAGATGTGTCATGAGGTACTGAATTCTCAGCCCAGTGGAATGAGAAACTTGGTAGAATTCTTTTTATTTTTGTTGTTTATGGCAAAGTCATCTGCTTCTATGGTAGCAAGCAGTAAATAATGACATAAAGTGATTAAAGTGAGTGCTCTTGTTTCTGGCATGTGGTTGGAAGGTTTTATTCTTTGGTCTGAGTAGTTTGTACAAAATGTGGTGTTGTGTTAAATTGAAGAATAGATTTTTAATTCTAAAGTTGCCCATTAGTGAGTTTAGGGCTGTGGTTTGCTAAGGCTGGCTGGAGGGGTTTTATCACATAAACTTGTCTTTTCATCCTGTTTGCATATTACTCCTCTCTGATCAAACAGTGCCTACTGAGGCACTTCTCAGAAGACTGAACTGTGTGCTTAGCAAGAGATTTCACAGATAACAATAGTTCTGAATATTTTTTTTAGCTAGTGTGATTGTGAATGGAGAAGAACCTGGCCAGAGAAATGAGGAACATATCAAATATATCCCTGAACCATTTAGAAAGTTGCTGTTTCTAAATTGGTTTACGAATTAAAATAAACATTTCATAGTGTTTGAAAGAAAGAACTTTTCTATTTTGCATAACAGCCTAAGACCCTAAGAAAAAAAGACTCATTCTTTTTCCTGCAGAAAAGAACATGTATTAATTTAAAACATTTTAGCAGAAGGTAACTATTCAGGCAGCAAGCTGCATGTCTTTTGTACATACAGGTACTGAGGAGGAAGAATATGTTTCCACTTTCCTCCAAATCATCGAGCCAGGTACAATGTCTCAATATCTGTACACTACTGTCCAGCAAGAAAGCTGCAATGACTATTTCAGATTACTGCTTCCTTTTATTCAGTGAAACATAGTTATAAAATAATGCCACAGAAATTCTTTTCTGAGTACCTCCTATGCTGAGCTCTCCTGGAGTCACAACTCACCTGAATTCATTCTTAGTCCCAGCATGACCATCCACCTGCAGGCAAGAATTGGTGCATCTTTCGTTTCAAGAAAGAAAGAACAAAAAAGAGGATTCATAGTTCTCTACTATCTACTATCTATCTACTATCTATATCATTAATTCCTTTAGTAAAGTGTTGGAAATAAGCACATAAATCAGAAGGTGCAATGCTCCTTAGCAATGTTGTGTGAACTGGTAAAGAGGTAGTATGGTATTACAAATGCCTTTTTATGTTTTCTTTATGCATAATATATTGAATAATTGGCATTATTACTACACACAAGTTTTTGTTCTCCTTATCATATGATCACACGATTGGGGATCACTTGTAGTTGGGATTTCTCATCACTCTTACTGTTATATTTGTATATGACACCTTAAGCAGAACCACAGACCTGGAGCACACTGAAATGTAATGGATCCTGTGTCTTAAACACAAAATTGGCGCTGGTGAAATAGCATTTCCTAAAGTATCCAGTGGGGTACCTGGTTGAATCCAGGAAAAACTGGAACTTTAATATTTCACATGCGGATGTTTTTCTGCAGGTATATTCCTTTCTGTCCACAAAGGACAAGTGACCAAACACTAGATAGCTGGCAGACAGAGATTCCATTAAGGTTTGGCACATTCTTTCAGGCGCTGTGCTGTTTGCCTTTGGGGAGTACACAGGTACATTGTCCTATATTGGAGTTCCTACTTTACTCCTTCCAGGAGTTTACAGCTTCTGCTCGAGCACACCTGTGCTCCACAGAGTTTTTTCCCAGGAGATTTCAGGTGGTGTTCTTCTTACTGCAGTCTCCTTAGGACTTCCACAGATGACTTTGTCCCTGCTGGAACTTAGCACTCTTGTGAATGTGCTGATTGTTGGCAGATTTCAAGGGGCCAGGAATTTGCCACATTCCTCCCAGATTTGTTGTTCTCCAAAGATGTTTCTTGAACCCTTACAGGCCTGAACCTCAGAGCTTTTTGATAGATTAAAACTCATTTTGCCATTAAATGTCATGATTTTAAATTTCTCAGCTACAGAGGCTGAGATGCTTCGTCAACCAGGTTGGATAATTCTTACCAAGAAGATCTAAACCTTGGATTTTTTTCCCTTAACAGGAATGCTAGTATTTTTCCCAATGTATGTGTTTTGGATACACCAGCTGTGGAGAGCAGCAATGTGTTTATCATCAACAGTGAAAATACTGACCTGGAAAGGACTTTTTTTTTTCGACATATGCATTGATATGGATATAAGGAAAGCAAATACCCCACAGCTGCTCCGCCTGCAGGGCTTTTCTGAATAGCAGAGTGGATCAAAGGATGGTTCTATTTCCTTGGGAAGAGGAAAAATTCATCACTTTATAAATCACAGCAAAAACAAATCAAATCAGTACCAGGAGCTTTTTAATAATAATGCATTTCTTATGGCTATTCTCAGTATAGGTCTCAGCAGTAGATACTGCACACAGCTAAGAAGAATGAAATAAAACTTGCCCCTGACACTGGTTTTCATTTAGCATTAAGGAATTAACTGGAGTATGAGACTGTAACATCCCAAGCACTGATGTGTTTAGAATCTGAGAGCTAAGTCTGTACTTTATAGCTTGAGTTCATCTGAACTGTGAAGTGGTATTATAAAATCATTTTTTCTTCTCTTCAGAATTCCAGAACATGTTGGGTAGTTTTATTTTTCTCATCTGTTGTGTGCTGTGGCTGAGTTGTTGATGCACTTTGCTGAGTTGTTAGCAACACGTCCTGAGTGTCTCGTGTAAGAGTATCATGATTTGAACACCTTTTTTGGTTGATGAATAAAGGAGAGGCTTTCCCTCACCTTCTGTGAAATGTGTTGGCTTCTATCCTGATGAATGTTACTGTAAGGTGTAATCATTTATTTTAATTGTGTTGAGAGACTTTCAAAGTCATTATATGATCTTGTTACAAGCCAGTAAATTTGTATTGTATATCAAGGGATGAAAGTTAGTGCTGAAATCACTAAATAACACATACTTTCAATAGAGCTTTAAAAAATTCTGGCCCATGAATTTTGTGATTAGAACTAGATCAACTATTAACAAGTCAGTGCATGACCAGGGAATAGATCCAAGTACTTCCTAAAATGGAGAATTGTTGGCGGGTACAACAGTGAGCAGTAAACAGGGTATAAAAAGCTTTGAGTAGTAGAGAAAAGGATTAAGAAAAAGAGAAGGTTTTGTATTACCTCAGAAAGAACTGAGTCATGCAGTTGCTTGGTGCAAACATGAAGTTATTAGCAAGGGAAAAAACACACCACAATATTTTTTTTTGTCCCTTCTTCAGATGTTAGGCCTCCGAGAATAAAACCAAATATACGTGTATGGGTATTTCTTTGTTCTCAGTTTTCCTTACTAACATTACATGCCTAGATATAGCGTGATAGAGAAAGCTATTTTGTATCATTTTACTAATAATTAATAATGTGAATTGATGTCGTGCTGCCACTACCTTGACTCTTCCATACACATAGATTTTTCAGATATCCAAGTATACAGCCGCAGTTTTTCACTTCAAGTGTTGCCTTTTCTTTTCCTTTCTCTTTTTTCAGGTTGACTTTGAACAACTCCAGGAAAACTTATGTCAGATGGAAAGACGGTGCAAAGCATCATGGGATCACCTTAAGGCTATAGCAAAGCATGAAATGAAGCCAAGTCTAAAGCAAAAAATGTCTGAGTTCCTTAAAGACTGTGCAGAAAGAATCATAATCCTGAAGATTGTCCATAGAAGAATAATTAACAGGTACAGAATTATATTGGTGACGGCAATACCTTGATAGTAAATTACTTGATAAAATTATAAGTTATGACATCATAAATATATGTTTTGTAAGTGTTTCATGCTCATTCCTTCAGGGAATGTTGCTGGGTCATATGTGGTGCATATTTTGTTATAGTCGCCATTGAAGAAAGATCCTCACTCCAGAAATTGTTATATTTTTTACTAAAAAAAAGCAATCATCCAGGCAATCATTTATTCCCAAGGTGCAATAATTGTGTCTTTTGCCTCCTAGTCCCCAAAGCTAACAGCTTTATAGTGAAGTTGATAGATTTTTTGTTTATCCCTGGATTAAGGAGACTTGGCTTACTGTCTGATAAGCAAAAACAGACTGTAGCAAAAAACATGAAGTTTATTGACAAATTCATCATATGCAGAAGCTGAAACCAGTCTTGGTTTCAGTACAGTCAGTACAATAAGTTCTTTTGTAGGCAGAACTACTCTTATTTGCAAGATCTTAGACAATGTGTTTATGCTTATACCAGCTGAAGGCAGATTCAACTGCAAATCCTGATTTGCAGTTGGGTTTCATGAAATGGTGAGAGATTTTCCGACTTCTGGATAAATTCAAATTGCTGTGTTCAAAATTAAGAACTGGATTCCAAATGATCCCAAATTGTGGGTATACGTTTGAAAAGTTTATTCAGTTCTTCTTTCATTTTTGTAATGACTTAGGGTTTATGCCACAAGCAAGCAAAAATCCCAATTGCAATGGAAGGGAAGTTAATTCATTAGTTTCCAGTTGTTTATCATATGCATTGTGCAAGTAAAAAAAAAATATCAACTTTCTCCTCTGATATCCTGTAACTGCTATGATAGTTCTTAAAAATGCTTTCATCTACTTGCATCTTTCTAAAATTGGGAAGACTTTTTGTCCTCAGGGATGTAGATGCAGTTAAAAGGAATTCCCATACATCTTTACACATTCAGTGTGCTGCTGAAAATCATAGAAGCAATAGTAAAAATTGCAAATAATACAAAAGCTCTGAATGCCACAGAAGCAGTAAAACTGTGAATTGAGAGTGTCCCAAACTAACGTACTTGGTAGATAATATAATTTTATGGTCAGTTTTGTGAACCAGAAATTCTTTCCTTCTTGTGTTTGCTAGCCTGTAAATCTGCATTCTTCTTGTCTAGACTTTGCCCAAAGTCCTAACAGCCTCTTTGAAGTTGCTTAATACAAATAAATAGAATTGAAACTTAGTAAATATTTTTTTTCTATAACAGAAATGAAATTGGTCATTCACATGCCAAATTAGTCATATAAAGTAATGGAGTTCCATAAATATTTTATCTCCTGCATCAGCCTGGGAAAGTAGACTGAGATGAAGTTATCATAGGCTAGGCTTTCATGGTTTTAATTATAAAACATACCAATGTTATGCAAAGCATCCATGAAAATTCTGTAGCACAAAGGAAGTTATGGGAGCTAGTAAAGTAATAAATGGATTCAGTGAAATATAGGGCTGTTGTTTTTTTTTTCCAAGAGACCATCAATAATGATTTTTTTCCCTTTACATTTATAACTCTTTTTTTTTCCAGGTTTCACTCATTTTTGTTATTTATGGGCCATCCTCCCTACGCAATACGTGAAGTCAACATCAATAAGTTCTGCAAGATTATTAGTGAATTTGCTCTGGAATACCGCACCACCAGGGAACGAGTTCTGCAGCAAAAACAGAAACGAGCTAACCACAGGGAAAGAAACAAGACCAGAGGCAAAATGATAACAGATGTAAGTGGCAAATGGTATCTCCCATAGCATGGATTTTTAAAACTTTCTTTTACTGCATGTGGTATATGAAGTGTTGTTATTCTATATTTAATTTGAGGTCCTTGTGCTGTGAGTAGTGAACTCTCCTCTATTAGAAGACAAAACTTGGAAGTCCTTGACTGTGTATAATTTCTGCTTCATAAAAATATATAGGACAAGAACAAACTGAAATTAATTATCCAAAAAGAACTTCTCTGTGTGCTGCACAGTGTCCAGAATATCCAGAAGACATCAGAACCCATGTGTATCTGACCAGCCAAGAACATGAAAAAAAAAAAAACAACAAAAAAAAACCCTAGAAATTAGAGTCCTAATTGAGAACATAATTTAGATGATGAATCATTGTAGCCATTTAAGTGATTGCAGCAAAATTTTAATGGTTTTTTTCCTCGATCTTTGAATATTCTAGTACAGTCTTGAGCCTTGATATTTTATCTATTTTTATGTCTGTGTGTATATATATATATGCAGATAAGTGTGTATTTCATGTGCATTTTTTTCTTAACTTTAGAGCACAGACCAGCCAATTTTATGGTAACAGACTACTTTGGGATTCTGAAAGGATGGACAAATTTATGTCCACACTAGATGTTGTGTCCACAGTATGTAAGATTGCATACTCATAAAATAAATTAAAGTAAGATTAGTTTTCTCAGCATAATAGGTTTTAAAATCCCCTTTTTCTATTTTTTTCTATTTTTTTTAAGTTGATGTAGTTTGGCTCAATCCAAATAGAGTTTTAAGAAGTGCCAGTACTTAATAAAAGTTTCCAGCTGTCTCAAAATCCAGATCTGGAGTCTCGATTAAACACAAGTGTTTCATTGCATATGAAGCTACCCCTGCCTTTGGCATAAAAAGCCTGAAGCTAATTACAGTTTTATAGCTCAGGCAACATGGGTCAATCTAAATATATAAATACATATATATGTATTGGGACTAACATGAATTGAGATTGTATTTAAGTCATTGACTCACAATCATTTGTAGATCTTTCCTAGCAATAGCCTCTTTACATTTGGAAATCTGCCCCATCTAAAGAAAATGTTAAACCTGCATTATTATCAAAGGATTTTTTTCTTTTGGTGTAGTCTCAGGTTAAGGTAGAAGCTCTGATTTTATACAAATGGTATAATACAGTCGTACAAATTTACAAAACTACTACTAGAGAAGTGAAATCACTTTCTGCAATTGCTTCTTGGTTTTCTTGATGTGTTCTAAAGGAGCCAAAAGGCAGCATTAACCAAAGCATTTTGTATATTAAAATTTTCATTCCCTCACGTAGCTTTGACACTTTTTAGTAGTTTAAGAAAGACTGAGATGTAACGGAGTTACTGTTTTCCTACTGTGTTACTACCATATAATGTAGTGTTTATATAATATCTGTCCAGAATAACTGCTGTGGCAGGACAAAAAGCTTGTGTGTATCCTGCCTGCAGAAAATGCAAGAGGGAAAGGAGTTCTGGTCACTGGCAACTGGGTTCATGAAGCAGAGAAATGGGACCCTTTCAAACCACAAAAAGTCTCAGGCTTGACAGTGAGTCAGCAAGGGGCAGAACCAGGGACAGTGGCCTGAAAATGGAGGGAAGGAGACATCAAGGCCTTTCCCAGAACAAAAGTAGAATTGGAGGAAGATCTCTTGTTAAGCTCAAAATGCTGTTGAGATTCGGCAAGAATTAAATGCCATCTGACAGGTAGTGTTACACCAAAAAATATCTTGCAGATCTTAAAAGGGGAGTATATTTTGCTTATCACTAATTTATAATTATAGAACAGTTCTATTAGCTTGAAACCAAAAAGCCTGCATGAGTAAAAACCAACTGTCTTTAAAAGTGCCCTTAACAGGAATGTTCTTTAAGGGAGTTACTAATGTGGCCACGTAGCTATTTCAGAACGTAGCTAAATCTCTTTGACCATAGCCCAGTAATATGGCCTCATTTACCTTTTATTTGACCTGAAGTATATGGTAAAACTGAATTGAATTGCATCAGACTGTTTGTCACGGCTTCCTCTGATAACTTCAAAGTTGCATCTACCTCAAAACAAGTTTCCAAGTCAGCAGGATGGAAGATATTTATGTGTGAAGAATTATGAAAACGTGGGAGTTTTATTGTAGTTTTGTTTTGGCTGTGGTTTGTATCTGGTCTTGATTTTCTTATTGTTTTATATTTGAAGGCTTGGAAAGGGGAGATAGATCAGTAATGCATTGACAGTGATTCACTAGTTATAAAATACTGATAGAATAAAGCTGAGATCTTGACATTGGAAAGAAATTCTTTGTAGAAAGTGATTAGAATATGGAATTTTACTTTCTGCTTTTGGTGACCTTAAAGTATTGTGCAATTATTTGAAATTTATCTCCCCGTCCTTTTGAAAGTTTCCTCAGGGTCTCATTTTTATCACCTCACAGTATACTGCTTTTAGGCAGAGGAAGAGGGATTCTAACAAAAGCAGGAAAGGAATAAGCCAGACCCAGCCCAGTTCACAGGGAGAAGGCCTGTATCTCTTAAACCTTGTCCCCCTGCAGACTTGGAAGGCAGAGGGGTGCTGACTTGTTGCGTGGAGAGTCTGCTGGCTCTTTGCATGGAGAACTTGCATCAACTGCTCACATGGAGTAGGGCTCAGGAGCACAATGGGAGACATTTCCAGTCTTCCTTTCAGCTTTTTACCACAGATATCTTTGTGTTTATGTGTTCTTTAATAGCTGAAATGGACTGGGCACTGTCAGTTTAAATCTTGGTGAATGTTGTCTGGAGGAGAGGGGTAAGGGAAAAAAAAAACAGTTATTTGCCACAGTTTCACAGGGAAAATTGCCTAGTGTCTGTAACCTTATATCTGGCTTTAGCCAATGATGGCACTCATTTCAGGCACTCTAAAAGTAAGAAGCAAGCAAAACAGGGAAGAAATGCAATTATAGGTACAAGTCTCAGCTTTTAAATTATTTTTAATAATAGTAGGTAATGCAAGCATCTGTCGCCCAGATTTATGAAGCTCCACTTTTCATGATACTTAAGAGTTTCAATTACAAAATTGCTATGCAATAGACATAATATTTTGAAACAGCAAATCCACTGCACAGAAATGCTAGGCTAAAGGAAAAATGTGAGAGCAGGAGGAAGAGAAGGAGGGAGATCTCAGACTGTCCTGTAACATCCAGTATTTGAATGACAGAAGAATCAAATAGCTGTTTTTTCCTTCAAGTTAACATCTTGTGTCTGCAAGTGATATTCAGTATAACAATATTCTTTCAGTGCTTTTCGCTAATATTACATGTTAAAAATTCCTAATTTATTACTACTTCTCAGTGTTTTTATAATGATGTAAGTAAATACAAGAAGAATGAAGAAGTAAATACAAGGCCGAATGTACATACCAGGGTGAGAGCATTTTCCCTTGTGAAACATAATGTTGATTTATTTATTTTGCTGCTTTTACTTCTGTTGTCAGTATTTGCTAGTGGCAAATGCTTCTTCAAACATGGAAATACGAGGGAGTGGTGAACTATTCCTCCTGTGCACTGGAGTAGCTTTGTGTGTAGGACAGTGGTTCTAGGAGTGAGTGCTCTCCATGTGGAGCAGGAGAGAGAAATGGTAATGCCCAGGTACTGGACATGAGCAAAGTCAAGCAAAGAAGTGCCCTTAACGTGAGTCCACAGCAAATCACTCCTAGCTAAATTAAATGGGCTGGAAGGCCCGCAGCTGGGCATATACTCTGTAAAAGTCTATCTTGATACAAATACTATAATACACTTTTGTTTGGAGTACAGTCTTTGTAATGTGTATTCTCTAAAATTTTACCTTGCCCTGACTGCCTTCTTGTATTGTTTAGCTTAATTTGCTCTCCTGCTGCCCTTTACTTTTAGCTGGATGTACAGAATGATGAAATAGATAGATTGATAGATAGATAGAATTATTACTATTGATTGTATTTCCTATTTTTCTTTCTGTTTCTTACTCATGACAAAAATTGAACAGTGATCATCTTCAGATAATTGCTTTATAGAGCGACTCCCTGCCCCCAGGGGACAGAAAAAAGACAAACAGACAATTTTAATTCAAAGGGAAGGAACATACCTGCCATGGTCCCTCTGTAAAACACACTGCCTGTGTTTCTGTCAGTACCACTGTGTCCAAATTAAAATAAGCATCTCACTCTTTGCATAAAACATACCCTTAAAAAGTAATGTTAATCTGCTGCTCAGCAGTCACAGCTAATCTTCTTAAGGAGATTGTACTGAAACTAAACTGAGGGCCAAAGTAAATCAGGCTTTCATTTTTAATGATGAATGTTTATGGAACAGAATGTATCAATCCCAGACAGAAATCAGAGCTGAGATGGAGATAAGGTCAAAAATGTGTATTAGTAACACTAAAGAGAGGCATACTATTGGTGGAATGTTTCTTTAAAAAAAAAAGAAAACAAAACACAAATTTTTAAAAAGTGCATAAAATTTCTGGACTGTATTTTCACTTTATAATCAATCAAACTGAAAATTATGGAAATAGGGAGCCCAGATACCTGAGAAGTCATGTTTTACTTTGGGAAACTTCCATGTGGGGCATCTACGTTAGAAGATGAAGAATTCCGAAGGCATTTGGGAATACAGATCTAAATAGGTCACTAATTCCCTGTAAATCCCCAAATTTAAGAATACTTCATATCCCACAATATTTTATATGTCTGTGCATTTATTGTAGTATAACTGTCAAGATAGTTTTAGATGTCTGCTGTCACAGAGGGTGAAAGCCCTGAATAACAGTGGATAATTGCTTCTCTGATTCCCAGGATCAGCTATCATGCAGCTACTGAAGAACTTTAAGCATTTATTGAAAGACTACCCAGCATTTGATTTGAGTTGAATTAGAAGTTGAAAAATTTGCTCTGTTGAATTGGAAGTTGAAAAAACCCAGCTTAAAAAAGGAATTAAAACAAACACTTAAGTGTAGAGGAAAGGAATTGCCAAGAAGTTGACCTCTGCACTGAAAGAAACCGCAGCCAGGACCTCCCTGTGCTGCACAGAGAAGGAAGAAAAAGGAGCCCTTCCTAGTGTTGTCAGCTTCCATGAGGCAAACAACCACATGGTTCAAGGGAGAGAACTAGGGTGGGTTAGCGGTAGTTTCAGTTCACCCTTTCTGTAAGAAAAATCAGGAAATTACTACATACCTGACTGGCAGTGACAGTCTGCTCTACATACAATCAGCTAAAAAAAAAAAAAAAAAAAAAAAAAAAAAAAAAAAGGCAAACTGATTATCTAAGGCATGAAAATAAATTCCTTATATGCCTTGTATTTTTATGTTCTCCTATTGCATAAACAGTACCATGGTTACCTCTTACTCTGTCATGGTTTGACGGTGCTGTCTTTCCTCTATCTTGCTGTTTGTCCTTCTCCACCTTGACCTTTGTTTCCAGTGGCAAACCGATGAAGAAGAGGATGTTGAGGTATGGTTCCCTGAAAAAGCATGTCATCCCATGCCTCCTGTGTGCTGTGACATCTAATTTCTAATTCAGATAGTATGGACTGCTCAACTCCATCTGCTCCACTGGAACTATGAACCATGGCATACTTCACATACCTTTTTGTCTCAATCATAAGAATGCATTTTTACAGTCAGCTTTAGCCATATGCATCCCTGTCCTGTTGAATAAGGATATCCTTATATGAGGCCTTAATAATTTTAAGTTTCCTCATTTCTTTTCCTTACTATCTGTAATACACTCCATTACCCAGAACATCAGTGATCTAATTGTTATGGATATTGTAAATTATCTTGGGCTATGGATTACCAGGATAATTTCATACTCATTAAGATGTGTAACCCTACATGGTATTATTTTATAAAATTTTCAAAATTATCAAGATATGGGGATGTTAAACAAATTCTAACTGTTTGCCTTGCTGTATAAATAGAGAATGAGACGCTTAATTTATAGTGGTGAGCCATGGAAGTAGTTCATGTATCTATCATAAAGTGCTCCTGAAGGTGATGTTTCAGCTCTATTCATAATAAAAGTTTATTGATTTGAGGAGCATCTTTTTTGTAATGCATTTTTTGTTCAGCATTAGAGCTTTCTTCAATTTGCTGACCATAAACACTGTGGCTTAACTCTCACTGTTTCATAGTGGTGGTCATTTCCTCACCAGGCTGGGGTTTGGCCAGCAATTTATGGCAACATCTGAAAATTAAGGAAATGAAATAAAACTTTTGGGTGTAGAGCTTTGCCCCCAGTTACGGTTTGTGCTGTATAGCTTAGGGCATGGAAAGAAAATTAGACTAATTTGCCTGTTTATGCCAACATGTAACTAACCTGTGTGAACAGGAACTAACAGTTATGTGGAGGCTTTATCCTTTGTAATCTTTTGGAAATTGTATTGATTACTGAACAACCCACTTTGTATAAGAGAGTAGTCTTAATGCAAAAACGGCATGCCCTTTCATAGGAATTTTCCTCTAATATTTTTCTGTCTCTTAATTTCACATGTGAAACTCTAGCACTTGCATACTTTTCACATTAAAATGTTGCAAGCTAATATTTTAACAAGAAAACAAACTTCTAACTATCAAAAATAGGTCTCATAGTGATATATTTAGCTCAGTGCCTTGTAAGGATTATTGTTTTGCTACTTAGTTAACTTGCTATCTTACCCCAAAAAGTCACTATGTTAAAATAGAATCATCTTATCACTGGTTTCCAGATTAAACTTTTTAAATTTGCAGTCTTGACATGGGGACTTGATCAAAGCTCTGAAAGTAGGGCCCAGTCTTTTCTTTCAATTTACCATTCTCTGACAGAAGAGCTTTGCAGGTTTGCATCCCTTTAACTGACTGGCTTGATATCATCAAGTGAATAATTAATGTTGTTTATTATGCAAAGGAAGAAGAGAATTCAGCACTTGTCCTTTCATCTGTGCTGAATTAGAGTAAGAAAGATTAAAAGGAAAAACAAAACATACTTTGGTGTCTGATGCTGGGCTGATATGAGTGAGAGTACCAAGGTTTATTATTATCTGTTGATGCCTGTTTGCTGTCAACAGGGTCGGTATTTCCTGCAGTCAGGGCTGTATTTTCAATGTGCTTTGACCTTTCTGTAGATAATAGCACAGTGGTGAATACCAGCATCCAAGCCTTTTGGAGGCAGAGTCTGGGAAGGGAGAGCAGCCCAGCAATGCAAGCCCTTCTCCTTAGGAAGCACGCACTTCTGCTGCTCCCACCTGTTCCTAGATGGTTGTTTTGGTCACTGGTGGAGCTGCTGCATACCTACACTGTGCGTGCCCTGCTAAGTGTAGCTGCTGTGGTTCATGTAGTTGTGGTGACAGGGATACTGAGGGCAGACTCCTCAATTTCTTGTAAGGCTTTGCTTGTTCTTCTGACTTCTGACTGCAGTTTTTGTGTTTCAGCCATAAATGATTTGTCTGGATGTTTTCAGACCAGACACTTTGTAAGCATTAGTGGTAATGTGTATTAAAGTTACTTGTAGATAATTGTGTTTTAGAGCAGTTTGAGAGGTTTCTGAGCAGTAAGGCAGAGAGGAAAGAAGGAAAGGTGTCTCTTCCTAGACCACAATGCCCATTTTGCCTTGCTACTGAAATTTGATTGTACAGGAAAAAAAGCAGTTTCTTTTTTCTGTTGGATCTCATGCTGTTCCTCTCAGCATCATGCCTGACCCCAGATCAGGCCCAGTCTGGATCGCAGGTTTCAAAGCAAGTCCTTGCTTTGTACCTTTTACTCTCAGACATAAGGTCAAAATTACAAAGCTTGAGCTAATGCATCTGTTCTTCCTCCAACTGTGTCTGCTCCCTGCTGTCACCCTGTTTCAGGTTTATTTCTGGTCAGAGTGAATGCTCTTGGCGAGGAGCAACTGTTGCTGGGCTCTTTTGGGAATAGCTCTACTCCAAACCAAGCCTGGGAGGACACTTCTTTCCTTGCAATTCGCTGTTGAGCCCCTAGCCTATTGTCCATGCTGTTCTCAGTTGAAACAACAAATCCTTTTCCTCCCGCAGTCTGGCAAGTTCTCCAGCAGCTCCCCGCCCTGCCAGGGCCAGCCCCAGGGCTTGCAGTACGCCGAGGATGCTGCCGAGCACGAGAACATGAAGGCTGTGCTGAAGACCTGCTCCGTGGGGGCGGACAGCACCATGGCACTCGGCATCCGCACTCGAAGCCGGGCCAGCCGAGGTAAGTGCCAAAATTTCCTCTTGGCCTCGTTTCTTGTGCTGTGGTAGCCGCACAGTGGCTCAGACATGGGTCGTGTCCCCTTTGCGTAGCACTCAGCTGGAAAGGTGGAAGAGGAAGGACAACATCCCAGTGGTGTTGTCATGATAGAAGTGCTTTGAGGCATGGGGATGAAGAAGAGTTTTCCTGAAGTTTCAACACATAGATCACAGCCAGAGTAAGGGTATCAGGAGTCCAAGCCTGCAGAAATTTTCAGTTCTCCCTGCATGATGATGGTGACTGCCCACTAACACCCGAGTTCTTGTTCTCATGATGATACCAAAATGGGCCATCTGGAGAATCCAGAATGTGGTTTTCTCTTTATTTTCAAGAGAAGCAAGTAGAAAGTAGCAATTCAAATTCAAGTGGAAAGATCTTCCAGCATTTTATGAATGACTGGGGAAAGACTGGGGAGAAAATGGGTAGGAAAAAGGTGATGTATCTTTTAACCACCTCACTGCTAAACTGCAAAGGTAATGGGTACTTGCTTTTGTCTTCCCCTCATCACTCCCATACTTGGAATACATGGAAGATGGTTTTGGAGTAAAGATGCTGCATCAAAATTCAAGTCTTCATTTTCTTCTCTGGTATTTCTTCTCCTTCATATCTGGACATCTTACACTTTCTTGATACCTTTTTTTTTTTTTTTTAATATACAATTGATAGCACATCCAACTCTGTGTGTGTATAGTTTACTAAGGCTTAAAACCATGATCCTGGCTAATTCAGAAGTTTCACAGCCCCAGTGTAAGAAGCCAATCAGCTAACTAAAGTACAAATATTAAATAATTCAAGCTACACTGCAACAAGCTGAACAGCAAGTAATCCACTGAATGCTGATGAGGAGAGTGTCCTGATTGTGAGAGTCAGCTTGTGTTCCCCAGAACAGCAGAGGCAGAAGATGGGTGAGCCATACAAGAGCTTGTCAGGAGCACTGTTGTAGTAGAACTTCTCCTGAAAAAGCGAGGAGACGAGGCAGCCAAGTAAAGGCCTAATCAAAGCTGTTTATGGACTTCAGGGTTGTGGTATAAAATGGCATTGTTGGTGATTTCTTAGCTGCTTGCAATTGTACCACATCCACTCCTGCAAAGCTCAGTGTTCACACTGCACACAAGTCTTCAAATAATTTAAAAACAAAATGCCCACAGAACAGTAGCCAGTAGTGGAGGAAACCAAGGATGTGTTACACAATGCTCTGTGGGTAAGGAGTGCCAGGGCCTTGGATTTGGAAATATGGCTGACTCGTTTGTTCGTGGTTTTAACCAAAATTGCTTTCAGCTTTTCAGCTTGCCAGCAACTCTTCCACTCACATCAGAGCACACAGTCATGCCAGGACACATACAGCTCTATGATAAGGTGAATTCTTCATTGTGAACAGGACAATACATGTCATACCACACTTTATGACTTTTTCTTGTTTCCTTTGCACTAGGTTGTGATACAGATGCTCAGAAATTGTTATGTCTTTCTTTCACTACAAAAGGACGCATGTTTCCAATTTGCATCAGTCTCTAAGATGTGCCATGTCTTCTAGTGCCTTTGTAATAGGAGCAGAGAGAAACATGGTCACACAACAGTATCCATCCTTGGCTTATAGGAGCCTCTAGCAGGCATTTGCCAGCAGTGTGCTCAAGAGCGAGACACTGTGGCTTAAAGGAATAGAAAGTGTGTATATAACTATATACATATTATAATTCTGTTTGAGCTCTTGGCTCTCTCCTGGTGCAGCAAGGAGTCTAGGCTATTTTTTAGAAATATTCTTCATTAGGCAGCTGCTTCTTTTTTGGTTGAATTGGAGTCAGGATGACTGAGCTGCCTGCTGTAATTTCCCAAAAAACCCAATTGCAAAACCAAAGTGATGCAAGAGATTTCATCTCTTCTTTTCCCTGAATTCACTTGCTGGACTTTTCCAGGCCGTATCGGTTCGTGGAACGCTGGCAACGACGATTCGCCAAACGCAACGGATGACGCCGCGGATGAGATCATGGATCGCATTGTCAAGTCTGCCACCCAAGTGCCAAGCCAGCGAGCGGTGCCTAGAGAGAGGAAGCGGTCACGAGCAAATAGGAAGTCATGTGAGTATAAGGCTATTAAATTGCTCAAAGTAAGGGAAAGTGCAAATATTTATGTATATTGGTGTAAGAACCAGGCCTTTGGTAGGCAGACATGCATTGGGAGTGGCTTGAGTGTGTGCTGATGATTGGCTTGTGTTCCTCTTACTATTGTTTAATCAGTATTGTATGCAGTGGGTGACTGTCTTCTATAGAACTTGAAATGTCCTAAGCAGAATAATAAGAATGGTTTATGGTGATTTATGACAGTACTTATGCATAACTAGAGAGTTCAGATCAGGACCTCAGATGGAGACTGCTTAAAATGCTGTAACCTACTGTGAACTGGCATAAAGATTAATAGTTGTGTCTGTAGCTGAACTTACTCATAAAGCAAAAATAGTTTGAGACATTTCGCCTTTTAAAATCTTTCTCTCTCGTGCTGTATGCTATCTTTCCGCAGCCCTGAAAACAAAATGTCTACTGCTGCTTGGCTGCAAAGTGGTTATAGAGGAGTTTAACTTCCACTTGGAAGAAAAGGTAGCACATTTATAAGGTGGTCTTTCGATGGTGTAGTGTGGCCTTGGGACTGAGCTGCGACACTCAAGTTTGAGGAGTTTGGTTTCATGGTTTAGTAAATCAAATGTTTAAGAGGTGATGAACTTTTTGGGTTTGTTTTTTTCTTCCTTATGTGCAGAAACTAGTGCAAATACTATGAGAAGGATAACTACCAAAAGAATATAATATTTTAGTGTTTAACATCATTAACCATATGTGGCTGTTTGACTACCTTTCCATCCATTTTTTTAGCATTTCTGGGAAGTTAGGACAAAGAGGAGACAACAACAGTGAGTGAAAAATGACACAGATTTTCTTTTTTGTGGAGTTGTTCTAACATAATGGGTGATCAAAAACATTTGCTATTTGCTATAAATTAGCATGTGCTGAAAGCATATTCACTTTCCCCAACATGCTAAAAGAGGAACTTATGCATGTGGCAAGAGCAGAGGCAAAGTGAACACTCTGGTTAGATGAGCCAATCTCTAAACAAAGAAAATGAGCTGACACTGGATTGTCTGTCTTACTTTCTGTCATACACTGTGCCTTACCTCTTTCTGGCATCACCTGCTGCTACCCACTTCCCCACAGAGTTCTGGTGTTCTGCACGTGCTGACTGCTGCAGTTGGCTTGTGCAAATCAAATAAATCTCCTGTACATTATCCTATTTCCATGCTTTATCCCTATTTCCCCAGTTTATCCCATATTAAAGTATCTCCTCTGTTGGAAACACTGTTTTCATACACACATATACCAAAATGTTTTATTCCTAATTTTTACCTGATACTTTTCTTCCCTAGGAAGTACTTGCTGCAGAAGCAACAAAATAGGATAATGATAATAGATATACTATATTATTTTTCAATTGAACTGTCTTTTATGCTCAGTAAAAGAATTATCAGGGATTAAACATTCAGTAAATGTTTAGGCTGGGACTGATTTCCATTGTAATTAATCATGATAGAATCCAGCTCTTGTGCTTGTTTGTTCTTCAAGATCTGGATGAGACTCTTAAGTGGATTAAAAGACAGTTTCAAAACAAACATAAAGTTCAGTAGTTTAATGTCCCTTTTAGCTGACATGTGCAGAAGCGTGGAAGGAGAATTTCCCAACTGAACTGTTTCACTCTGATAGATAGTCAATATACTTGGATGATGAATTAATTAAGTAGTTTGTCTTTAAAATACACTCAGCTGGACTGATAATATGACATCTCCAGGAAATGAAGAGAGATCAGCCCTTGCAAATGCATGATGTGAGTTAAATGAGCAGAAGATATTCCAGTTAGAAACACATAAACATGTAAGAAAGTAAATTTTTAGATAGGCATATCTCAATGATTTAGATTACCAGACACTACAATATTTATTACCTGTGGAGCAAAGAGACCCTATTATCTGATAGGTTTGATTCATCACCTTCAATCTTCAGACTCCCATACACATCTTTTGGCTTTTGCCATGAGCTTGGTATTCAATCTTTTCAGGAACATCAAAGAGAAACTCACTTGAAAGGAATTATATTCCCTGTGCATCATGTTGCACACGTCTCATTGCTTTCAGTGCACAACTGGAAAGCTTGTCAGGCTTACTTAGCATTCAGCAAAGATTTTAGTGAGCACAAACTGAGACACATGGTTTTTAGCAAAATCAGAAACCCAAAATATTTATATGTAGTTGCACTATAAACGTTTGCTGTGGTTCCAGCATAAGGTTCTCATGGGCAAGGGATTTTTTTCCCATAAAAAAGAAAGTGAAATGTGAAGTAAAAAAAAAAGAAAAAAAACCCTAAACTGATTACTCAAGTCATTTGTAGCTAGGGGAAGGCAGAAATAGGTTTATGGAAAATGTAATGTTATATTCATATTAAATTGTTGCAATAGGAAAATAAGACATCTTGATATGTTTACTTGAAGTATTTTACCTTTTGTGGTTGTTGACCAGTGTGACTGTATCTGGTATGGAGCGAGCTTGGTTAGGGCATAATGATGTAGAAGAGTTTGAAAGCTCAGGGTAATCATCAGAACTATAAAATGGGAGGAGGAGCAAGACAGGGAGTCATCCAACAAAAGACAGATAGAAATATCTGTATCTGTTGGTTGAAGATAGGGTCACTGATAAATCAAGATATGACTACTAGGAAGGAATTTGTTCAGTGGGAGCTGAAGTGAATTACAGAAATCTAAGGTACATAACAACTATGCTTAACAACTGAGTTCCTGGGATGATCTGGAGAGATTCTGTGCTAGACCTTTACACAGTGAAAGATTTTCAGAATAAAATTTGTCGTTTAGAAGTACAGTAATCAACTGGAAGTCACTGCCTTACAACAGGTGTTCAGAGACCTGCCTACCAGATACACTACAGTGGCATTATATCTGAGAAAATAACATTGCAATTGTAGCTGTTCATCAGAAAGCCACAGGACTGAATGAGCCACAGAAACTGAAATGCTCATGCACCCCCTCAAGGTAATCATTCAAAGAGAGCTTCAAAGGAAGTTGCTATGGGAATCTTGGCTTTTTTTTTTTTTCCTCTTATATTTATATCCTGTGTGTAAAAAAATAGGCTCCAGCCACCAGAGATGTCAATTCAGCATGTTTTAAAAGCATAAAAATTAAGTTGAAAATATATTATTTCTGTTCTTGCAGTCTGAGGGCAGCTTTCTGTGAGAAGGTTTTCTATAGCATTACAGGGACATGTTCAACTTAGCAATGAAATAAAGATAATATAATTAGGATTGTCTGGTTTTCTGGTAAGTTTAGGAAAGCCTTCACAAATGGTGCCTTAACAATGCTTTAACAATGAGTGCAAGGGAAATTTGGGAGAAGAAAGTTTTCGGAATCACTCTACTTGGTATTCCAAATTTCATAAAGACTAGTAGTATCATTGATAAGATACAATGTTTTACTTACATATATTTAATTAAAGAGCCTCCCCAAAACTCCATAATAACAAATAGGAAGATACTACTGTTTTCTTTCTTGTCCACGCTGTCTATTTAAATATAGATCCCTTAAGGGAAAATCAGTCTTCTCAGGATTAGGCTCTTGCTGTGGTGCCGTCTCTGTGTTGGTCTCATTGAAATGGATGGACCTGTCTCAGGAGAAGGATACAACTCCTATGAGTCAGCATGAGGAAAAATCATACTCCAGTTTATTAAATATGAATAAGCATATGGAAGATATTTGCACTAATTCTAGCATATGCTGGGCTTTACTTGTGAATGCTTAGAAATTGTGAGCAACACTTATGAATTCCTTAGAAATAAATAGCCTAAAAGGGCTATTTATTTATAAAGAAATATCTCTTTAAAGATGGCTTTACTGTGCAGCGCTGTTTGATTCTAGATCTTCATCTGACCCTGGATGATGAACTATAATGTAGGGCCTGGGTGTGACTGGTATTTGATGATGAGTAGCACAGTGATGGTTTTATCAGATGCTGCTGGAGACACTGCATGGGGATAGGGCAGAGTAAGAGGCTTGTTTTCCCACACATTGTTTTATCTCAGTGTCTCTGTGTGTGTGCACACTCCTATTACTCTTAGATTTTATTAAAATTTAAAATCTGCTTTAGATTTTAGTTAGAAAAGAGGTTTTGGAAGATATAATAATTGAATCACAATTTAATGTAATATTTGAGTGAGATAACTCGATCAAACTTATTTGTGATGTGTAAAAAAGAGAGAGATATGATTATGCCTTGCTCTTTTATCAGGCTTTAAAATCGTATGGTAGCCTAATAATACACCCCATGACAGACCCTTGAGGTATGGAAGTATCTCATAAGGATTTATGATTTATTTGTGTAATGGCTTGCAGGGAGTAACAAATACTTACAAATCATGATGCAGAAATGGGTCTGAGGCACCACATGAGTAGGTGGAGATAGGAATTGAATCAAGTCTACCTGGTGTCATCAGGTGCTAAAATGTGGGAAAGAGCTGTGCCAAAGGACCAGGCATGGAGACCAGCTTTAGACAAGTTTTAGTACCACATGCAGTGCTGCTTTGGAATAACTGTGTTCAAAGAAAACAAAGTACTACATGGGACACTGTTTGAATCCAAAGGTGCATATTTTTTGTTGAGCATTCATAGGGTGCATTATGTAACTTTTTCTTCATATTTTCTTTGTTATTTTCATTATTTTTCAGTTTCATGTCTCTTCACTTAGTTTTTCTGGCTTTGAAAATGTACAGAAGTGCCAAAATACCAGGAGGGAGACTGTTCTTCTGGTATTTATAGCCTGACTAAAAGCAGGAGTTAATGGAAATTATACTTTAAAAAACCTTGCAAGAAGAAAGACTATATAAAATGCTTTAAAGGCAAAGAAAATTACTTTGAATTTGCAATTAATTATTTTGGATTTGAGTAGCTGGGTTCTATAAGGAGTTAGAGTATGGAGCAGAGTAATCTAGTTAGTGAGGCATATTTAGGAGCTATTATTTTTCATTTAGAAAAAGTAAATGTAAGACTGATGGTTTTCAGTATCAAAGTCTGTTTGTCCCTGCACGAAGTACTGAGCCTTCAAAAGACCAATACATGGTTTAAAAAAATGTAATTATTGAATAAAAATAGAATGTGAGATAAAGCACTTAGAGCTCTGGCAGCTGGAAGATTATCTCCATTAGATGCCAAGATAGCTTGAGTCTTAGATTCCTTTTAAGTAATACATTTTTCCATCCTTAAGATGGCAAGATCTTTGCAAAAGTAGGAGAATAAACTCCATGATCTACAATAAATAAAAATAAAACCTATGAATTTAAATTATTAATAGCACTTCATGAATTAATAATAAATGCAGTTGAGCACAGTAAGCTCTAGAAATTGATGTATCTGATTAGGATGAGGTCTCCGTAGTCCCCTGTCTCATCTGTGCCAGAGGTCAACATCAACAGCTGTAGAAGAACAAACAGGAGAGGTAGAATCATAGAAGCACAGAATCATTCAGGTTGGAAGAGACCTCCAAATTCATCAAGTCCAAGCTTTGCCTAAGTACCACCATATCTGCCATTCTGTTGCATAACCATTAGCCATTATTTGTGTAACCCATAGGACTTGCCATGGGTTTTGATAGTTACAAATTTATTCATTCATGTATTTATTCATATTCAGGCTGAATAGCTGGTTCCATGTTTTCAGTTTTGTCCATTGTAATCGATAGCATACATAATTTTGATTGTTGATGTCAATACCATTTCTAAGTTGTCACACATTTATTTATAAGTGTTCTGTTTCTGCTTTACAGTGTGTATGATGGGGTTTTTCAATAGCTTTCTTTTAAGATAC